TCCCTACTTCCTGGATGCCATGAGTTAAGCAGTTTTCCTCTACCATTTCCTTCTATCATTATGTCTCTGCCTTTGAGCCAACTTGCCATGGCTAAAACCTCTGAAACCGTGAGCAAAAAAAAAAAAAAAAAAAAAAATCAAAACAAAATCCTAAAATACAAAAATCCCTTTTTAAAGTTGTAGATGCCAGGTATTTTCTCCCAGTGATGAATATCTGACTAATACAGGGATATTTAGCTCACAGTTTTAGAGGCTGAAAGTACAAGATCAGATGGCTTCATTGGTTCAGCTTTAGTGAGGGCCTCATGACAGAGGGCATCATGCTGAGACTATGTATAAGACAAAGAAATCAAATGAAAAAACAGGAAGTCAGAGAGAGTTAGGGGCCTACAACTCTCTGTCTCTCAAGGAAACCAATAAGGTTTCCAAGAAAATTATACTAACGTCTTCTGCGGATGGCACCACCAATGACCTAACTACCTTCTGTTAGGCTCCACATCTTAAAAATTCCACCATAATATGACCATCATAATGGGGACCAATCTTCCATTACATTAATCTCTGGGACACCCACTCAAACTATGTCTAAATGATAGCACATCTCATATGTCAATTCAATCAACAAAAATTTACTGAGGGCTTACCAAGTGCCAGGCACTGGTGATACTACAATAATTAAAACAAAAACCCCTGCTCCCATGAAATTTAGTTTCTCCCAGCAGGAGACATACAATAATAGGTCATACATAAGTAAAATACTAATTATGATGTAAGTGACATAGAGAAAAATAACAGAGGGAATAGGGATAGTGTCTCAGTTTAAGCTGGTAGAACAGGCATAATTCTCATAATTCTAGAGGCTGGGAATTCTGAGATCAGGGTGCCAGCACTGGTTCTGGTGAGGGCTCTCTTTCTAGTTTGCTCGCATGGCAAAGACAAAAAGAACTGAGACTCTTCATCCAATTATAAGAACACCAATTCCATCATAGGAGTTCCTCCTCCTCACCTAAACCCAATTATTTCCCAAAGGCCCCACCTCCAAATACCTTCACATTGGGGATTAATGCTTCAACACTTGAATTGGGGGTGGGGGAGGGATCCAATCTATAGCAAATAGAGATGCCATGGGAGAGGACTACAATTTTAAATAAGGATGTCAGGGAAAGCTTCATGGTGCTTCTGGGTTAAGACCTCAAGAAACGGGGAGATGATTCATGAGGATCCATATCTAAGAGGGAACATTCTATACACAGAGAACAGACCTCAAGACAACATTAGTGGGTCAAAGAAAATCCTCTTAGGCCATACTTGGAGCTGGAAGAGAACTAGATAAGGTAAAAGGTAACAAGAAGGAAGATTATGTAATGTCCGTTAGGTCTCTGTGAAGGACTTTGGATACTTACTCCAAATGAGATAAGAAGGTACTGGGGTGGGAGGTGTTGAGAAAGAGTAACAGGATCTGGCTAAAGTGTTTTGTTATCTGGCTGCTGTGCTACACTTGATGGGAACAAGGACAAGAGATAAGAATCTTTTCTTTTTTTTTTTTGGAAACTGGTGTTTTATTTTCCATCAACCTTATTTCCATTTTGCCTAAGTGTCTGCAGAACAAACAGCTCAAGACCACTCAGTGGTGGTTCCTACCCACTCAGTGGCCTGAGCAGTGGGGGCTGCAGACCAGTCTTCCATGGCTGGTTGAGCACTCCAGTCTTCCATAGGGAACTGCTGAATGGGCACAGAGGGCACCTGCACACCCTCAGACCAGTCTGCAACTTCAGGCTGAGCAGCAGTGAACTCTGGAGCCGGTGCAGTCCATTCGCCCTGAAATTCCTCCTTGGTCACAGCCTTTTCAGCAGCAGTCTGCTCTTCTTTTTCAATCTCTTCAGGATCCCTGTAGAAGTAGAGATCAGGCATGACCTCCCATCAGTGTTCACGGGAGATGGTGCCATGCATGCGCAGCACTTCCCGGGCCAGCATCCACCACATCAGACCCACTGAGTGAGTCCCCTTGTTGTTGCACGGGATGGCAATATCCACTTAGCGCAGAGGAGAATCTGTGTTACACAGAGCAATGGTTGGCAGATTGACCTAAGACGCCTCCGTGAGGGGCTGGTGGTCAGCCCTGGGATCCATCACCACCAGAAGACGCGGCTCTCGGAAGGCTGCCTGGATCTGGTTAGTGAAGGTCCTGGGAGTGAAGCGGCCAGGGATAGGAGTAGCTCCAGTGGCAGCCGCAAACTTCAGCACAGCCCGCTGGTCAGTGTTCCTAGAGGATATGACACTGACATCAGCAGGGTTTTCAACGGCGACTATGGCTCGTGCTGCCAGCAGAAGTTTTTCCCAGGTGCGCTTCAGATTTATGATGTAGATTCCATCACTCTTCCTTTTGTAGATGTACTGTTCCATCTGGAAATCCAGGTTGGTGCCACCTAAGTGGGTTCCTGCGGGGAGGAATTTGAGGACGTCCTCCTCCTTTATTTGCAGGACATCAAGGGCTCCGGACATTGTGAAAGTTTCCCTGTAAGTTACGACGGGAATCACGAGCAATGCCGTATGGACCCCGGCTGGGGCAGCGCGGAAAAAATCCAGATGATGATTGGCTTCAGCCAGAATGGTGGCTGTAGAGATGAGAAACAATCAGATTCTAGATTTTGGAATTTGCTGACAGACACATAATGTGGTGTAAGAGAAAAGAAGGCAATGAGAACAACTCTGAGGTTTATGACCTGAGCAAATGGAAAAATCGAGTTGCCGTTAACCAAGATAGGGTTTTTGAGTAAAGATCAAGAGCTCAGTTTGAGGCAAGTCATGTTTCTAATAGATAAAATTCAGGTGAAGGTACCTGGGACAGCACTGGGATAAGGCTGGAATTCAGGAAAGAGGTATGAACTGGAGGGGCTGACAGCATACAGATCCTATTTGCAGCCATGCAACAAGGAAATGATACAGAGAATGAGTATAAATAGAAGAGAAAAGAGGTCCAAGGAATATTATAACATGAGAGGTTAAAGAGATAAGGTGGAGACTAGAAGATGCTCATGAGAAAAAAAAGGCTAAAGTAGTACTGTATTTTGAACTACTAATAAGTCAAGTAAAATGAGCACTGGGAGGTAAGTTCCACAAGGGCAATTTGGCTGTTATGGTGTTCAGAAAATGTTTAAGAGTGAATGGGACAAAATGGAGGCAGGAAGTCTGGACATCTCATTTGATGGGTACCTTGTTGGAGTCATGTTAAGTGAAAAAAGTGAAGCTGGCAGTTTTTATTTTTAAAATATGAGAAAATAATAGCATATTTGTATGCTGAGGACTCAGCTCAGGGGAAAAATGTAGACAGAAAAATTGCTGGAGCCACAAATCTCAGCAAGTGTGCATACAGTGGAGGGGTTTGCCTTCACTCAGAGCATGGACTGTTCATTCAGAACAGGAGGAGAAAAGGTAGGGAAGCCAGGATAGAGGAAGTTAGACAGATAGGGCATAGGTCCTAAACAGGGAGGGTAAGTGAATTAGCATACCAAAATGGACAGACTATCAGGGTCCAATAAAATGCAAGAGACAAAGAATAGGTCCTTAACCAAATGGGAGAGACACTGGAGGAAATGAAATGCAAATGAAGCTGCTGGCTTTCCAGACTTCCAAGGTCTACCTGCAACCAAGAACATTCCTGCTTTCTGTGTCCTACACTGGTGCCAAAAACTGTATAAAAAGTCAATGGTCCTAAACATCTATGGTGGCAGCCTTACGGAACACCCCTTTCAGCGGAGCAGAGAGCCTCTCTTACATTCTTTCTAATAAGCATGAATTTGGCCATTCGCCACTACTTGCTGTTCACTGTTTTGATGGCTTTAATCTTGATTGCCCCCAAACAAGGTACTGTGAGCTACAGGGATCCAGTTACACTAGGGCACATAAACTTGGCTTGAGAAAGTGACATGGGGGTGGGAACTTGTACAAAGTCTTCTGATTGTTTTTATTCCATCAGCTGAGAATGAAAACGGGGGAGCAGGTGTTGGTCATCTAAGAGACTTGAATAAATGAAAGACAGAAAAGTACAATACTACTAAGATAGGAAGGCGTATGTATAAATTACTTTCATCTTTAAAATAGACTTGTTGGAAGCAAATCTCTGTTATCTAAGTTTTAAAAGGCAGTTGGAGCTAAGTATATGAATAGGTATATGATTTAAACCAAGTGATCCTATTTTGGCTCAAACCAGGGAAGCCCTTAAGGTAACTCTGAATGTGTTCATTATAAAGATCAAAGTGGCAGTCTTCTTCTCACTGATGCTTTATTATAGTATGGATCAAAGACAACTGATGCTCACAGTCCTACAATACTACAACATTCTGAAGCAAAATGTTCAAATATCTTTTATTTTCAAGTTAACTTTGAAATTTTAATTTAATTTTAATTCTTTAATTGATAACTTATGTATATGTTAATATCAAGTGTGTATCAAGTCTCCAAATTTCACATAAATGTGACATGTATTAAGACCCTTTGAACTATGCATGGAGAATACTGAGAGGCATGTGTCTGTATAAGTTGTCACTGTCTGCCTTTCCTGAATAACATCTCACATTGTATAATAGTCCAGCTAAATTACAAAGCATCTGCAGCCTGACAAAGGAGAGAAAACCATATTTCTATTTTCCAAATTTCCATTGAAAGCTAATTCATAATTTACTACAGTATTTTACACTAACAATATATTTTAGAAGTGGAAAACAATATAGCCATAAATACAGACTATCATGAGAGCCTGGGATAGCAAGCCTCATTTTAGAAAAGTAAAGGCATCAGATAAAGTAGAAATTAAAGATGTTTCAAGAAGAACTCTTGGATATCTATGGCAGTACTTAAAGAAACCCTCTTTCTGGGGTTACCAGAATGCTATTTTCATGATGTAACTTAAGATTTATAATAAAGATGGCAGGTTATTGCTATGTCTCTATCCTATAGCAACACAGACCTCCAGTGGGAAGGACATAAATATAAAACACACATTTAAAAAATCAAAATGGATATGTAGGCTTTTATTATGGCAAACATTTTCATAATTATAAAGATCTCTTTAAAACAAATGAATGTCTCAGGATCTTTGTGAAGGGACCCAAGGCGAAGTCAAAATTAATAAAATTGTTGTGATGAATATATTTCAGCATATAAGCCAACAATTCTTCTCTAGATTTTTCATGCTGTGACATAATTACATTATTTTTCAAGTCAGAATAACCTAATAATATGAAAACCATGATTAATACAGAGATGATACTGTACTTTTCCAAAGTAAAGAAATGTACTTGATCTATTATTTTTATGAACCTCATTTGATGTCACAAAGAAAACTTTATCAGCAAAAATATTTTTAAATCTCAGAAAAACAAACAATGAAGAAGATAGTGTAACTTATTTAAAAATGTATATTGTAAGGTGAGGAAATATAAAATCATTATGTGAATATAAGAAAATACTATATGGCAAAGAACTGTCAAAATACAGAAGACATTGAGAAATGAATGAAGAATCAAGATCATTAAGTAGCGACAACTATTTCTAATGTATAATTGATACTAAAATGCCATAGGGAAAATGAACAACTATTTCCTGAAGTGGTAGTGACAAATGACAGAAGTAGCTTTAAAAATTGTAAGGAACATAGTGAATTAACTTACCACCTCCTTCAAACAAAAGTGAGAATAATTTTCTTGGGGGAATTTAAGCACCATCAGCAGACACATCCTATACCATTTAATGAAATGCTTGATATTTTCAGTACCAACTACTTCAACGGTGAAAATGATGTAGGAATCAGAAGCATATTCTGTTGAGACTCTAGGTAGTTGACACTTTCCCGAACTGGAAAAACATTTCACAAGAAGGTATATAACGTTATTGATGACTGAATCAAGTTTGTTCTAAAAATAATCCATGCCTAGGGAAGCAGCTTACCCGCTGCCACAACTCTGGGATCCTCATGAGATTCATGTCTCCCAGCTGCACGACTATCAGCACTCTCGTTCCACCAAAGAACATGAACTGTGGAAATAAATTGTATGTTAGTCTTATATTAGTTTTTTTTATAATAGTTTTTAATGTTAGTTTTTAAATATATAATATTTCACAGGAGTCAGAGATTTGGAATAGAAATTTATACATCAATTAAACTGGAAATAGGAGCCTGAAGGGGAAATAAAGTAACAGTTAAGAACAACAATTAAGAATAGACCCATGTCTCATGCATTCCATGTCTCATGCATTCCTACATTTTATTTTAGTTTTAGTTTTTGTTTTTTTGGTACCAGGGATCGAACTCAGGTCCTTGCGCTTGCGAGGCAGGCGACAGAACCACTGGGCTAAATCCCCGGCCCGACTACATTTTATTTTAAAAAGCAGATCATACAAAATTGTGCTTACTATAAAAAATTTAGACACAAAGTAGAAAATAAAAATCAGTATCATCTTAACTGCCAAGGTAAACCGTTAATATATATTTCCATTTTATAATTATAATTTTGATTATAATTTTAATTATATTATATATTTATTATAATGCAATTATATTATAATTAAAACAATTATATTTTAATTATAATAATTATAATTTTATAATTATAATAATTTTATAATTATAATTATATTTCCATTTTGTAAACCAAATTAGTCTTATTATATATTATGCTTATAAAGTTAAAAATCAATGACAATATAGTATGTAAATGATATTAATTTTTAGAATTAAATTTATTTTGATTGATACATTAAAAACATAAAAACTATACATATTAACAGGGCACCATGTGATGTTTATTTTATTTAATGCCTCTAAGAATTTTTCCTTGTCTATATAACTCCTTATTTTCCCAACTCTTCATTGTTAATTATTTAGATTACCATCAATACTGCAGTATTCTACAAAATAGTGAAACAGAGGGGGCCGGGGATTTAGCTCAGTGGTTCTGGGGCCTGCCTTACAAGTGCACGGTCGAGAGTTTGATCCCCTGTACCAAAAAAAAAAAATTCAATAGTGAAATAGATGTTCTTGTACATAATTATAATTTGGTGTTAGCTGTAAAGATTTTGGAAAGTACATGGAGAAAGTAAGAACAATTTCTATTCTTACCACTTCAAAAGGATCACTTTTTAATTTTGGTGTTTCAAATCAAAACTTACATATATCTATTTACTTTTATTTATGTTTATGTATTTATATTCACACAGTATACATATTCAATAAGATACAGGATGTATACAATGTATATGCATTTCTACTTCTGCATTGTGAGCATATTTGTTATATAAATAGGGTCATATCATGTTGTTGCTAGTATTTCCTTATTGTGAACAAAGCTGACATAAACCTCATTAGAGCAGCACTCACATGGATACCTATAATAATGTCCATGACCATGAGTACTAACATTAATTGGATGGTTATTATGTTCGAGATCTGGTTTAAGTATTTTCCTGTATTAACTAATTTGGTGCTCCTATAATCTAGGTGGTAGATTACTATTACCATAATTTTATGGGTGAGGAAACTAAGGCAGAGTGGACTTTATGTAACCTACTTAAAGTCACAAGGTAATGAAGCTGGGATTCAAATAGGCAATCGAAATCTAACTATTTTCTTTTTCTTTTTTTTTTGGTATGGGGGATTGAACTTGGGTCCTTGCGCTTGCGAGGCAGGTGGCGGAACCACTGAGCTAAATCCCCGGCCCCTATTTTCTTAATATAAACTCCTAAAATTTAAATTGAGAGAGCTGAAGAGTGCAGCTATTTTTATATAGTAAAAATACTATACACTTTGCTTCAGTAATGATGTATCAACTTATACTCTTTGTATTATCATTCTCATACATCACTGAAAATGAATTTAAGTTTAAGAAATTTGCACACATACATTTTCAGTAGCTTTTGTTCATGTAAAAGTTATACATGTCCAGTGTAGGAAATTAACAGACTTAAAAAACATCTTTAATCTTATCATTCAAATGTGACTATGGTACAACATATTTTATATCCTTTCAAATTTTATTCCTGCATTTTTATACACAACTATTCATATTCCCCTCAAAATGATACTGACAAAGTCAATACAAATGTCTTTTTATTTGTATTAGAAAATTTTACAAGAAAAAATTATGCCAATATGAAGCATATACAGTAAACACACACTTAATTTTTCCCTGACCCTACCTAACACTATAACTATATGTGGGTCTTTGCTTGATGAAAAAATGGTATCTTATTATTTTAATTTGCATCTTCTTTAAAATATACTTTGTAGCTATCTATATATCTACTTTTGCATATATTTTCTTTTTGCTTTTGAATTTCATTTATAGTG